ATGCTGGAACACATTTTAATTCTTCTATCTTTAATCGTTTTGGCAGACAATGGTAACTCTTTAATTCTTTTCAAAATATCTGCTTTGTTCTTAAAATCCCGAAATAGCTCTTCGGATGCATTTATAAAACAATTTTTTTATGTATTTGCCGTGTGTGTACGGTTTCCCTCTCTTAGAAATCGCTTGGCTAACAACAAAACTTGCCATATTAATATTGCTGGAAGATTGCATCCAGTTATTAAACACTGAAGTTTACGACTCTTGACTCTTCTGAAGTTCTTCAACTGCTTTCTTTCTTGCATCAACAGTAGGATACTTAGTGCTAAATGACACGTGCTTTCTTGTAAAGAGTCTCTTTAAATTTGAATTTCTCCTTACAAATAAGACATTGTGGAAGTCCATTCAAGTTGTGAATAAGCGCAAAATTCTAGGTCCACTCAACTTTAAATTCGCGGTTTTCATCTTCGGTTTTTCTTTTCTTTTTTTTGGTAGCCATAATCGGGGTACCTATAAAAATATTCCAAATATATTTTTTTCTAAAGCCACCAGTACAAAATTATTATCATTATTAAATTAAATTGAAATAAATAAAAATTAAAAAAGAATTGTTTAAAAAAATACAATTTTATTAATATATATAGCTGCACTAAAAAGAAAATAATAATTTTTCCATCATCAGAATAACAAAACTTTTAATATGACCAAAAATAGAAGATAACTACCAACATTTGGACAAATAGAAATTTTGTACCAGAACCACAAACATACATAGCATATGTAATAAAATCGTATAATAATACCTGTAAGATGTGCAGCTAGATTGAAAAATACAATGGCAGACACGGTAGATAAGACAAAACTATTCACACTGCAACTCATAGATGCAACTTCTGGTCTGTTATGTAAATTGGTCCCCACTACTTTAGAAAAAGTATGCGCGCGCATGCTTGTGGTACCTTTGTATCACACCGGAATACGCCGAAAAACTTATCAATTTTTTTTGAATGAAAATATTATTGCGCTTTCCGTGGATATTTGTGTCAGGGCCGCACTGAAGGAGCCAAAGAGCCACATGCGGCTCTGGAGCTGCAGTTTGCCGACCACTGGCATTTACATATATGCACTCCGGTAATATTACTCCTTTGGTCCAAGTTTTTGGGTACATTATTGACCAATCTTTTTCATTCTCTTTCAAAATATCCCCAGAAATGGCGCTTGTCTGTTTCTTTGTTGCTTAAACCAAGAATAAATATTTTTTCACTATGTCATATACGGAGGGTCGCTCTATACCATAAACTTGAGAAATAGCCGTAGGAGTCTCGCCGCGGTCATGCCTCTTAATGATTTACCATTATGCATGAAGAGTTATACGTTTATTGCTTCCACTTGTATTTTCCATCACATTTAATAATGAAATCGCAGGGTTAACTGCAATAATATCACAAATAGAGCAACTGCATACTCACGTTATTGCTACTGAACACAGCGAGGAACTAACGCGATTCAATATTTATCACAAATATTAAAAAAAAAAAACAGTATTAAAGTAAAATATTTTTGGCAGTCCATTCATTTTCACTCCGCGGTCCGACCACTGTACCAGACCGATGAACAGTCGCACTACAGTGTGTACTAAGCGTGTGCACACTATATATCACGAGTCAATTGTAGAAATAAATATTTAGTTTAACACATAATAAATATATTATCAATATATTTAAGTAACGGTTCGTATATTATAACATTAAGTTACCGAAAACATCTCGGTAAATTGGCGAGTTGTTCATTTCTCGAAGTTCATTTCTAATATTATTTAAAATATTAAAAAACTCGCCGCTGTATTTTGGTGTATTCTAAAAAATAATATTAATAATAATTTTTATCATATTTTTTAAAATAAGTCATTAAAATTAACACTTACATTAGTCATGATGATGTTATTTTAATATTTTCTTTTGTTTTAAAGAACTGTAGTTGTTATAAAACGCCTAAATCGTAAACCAACTGAATGATACAAAAACCATAGGACGCTGCATTTTATATGATTTAGCAAGAATAAGATGAGTATACACACACACACATACAGCCGTTATTATTATGATTGGATATACTAGTTTTACTAAACAAAATGGTTTAACGCGTGAGAAGAAAAATTATTATATGTTTAGACCGAATAATATTTTGAATTATATTTCAATAACATTTTTTTTAAGAAAAGCATTAATTCGTGGTAACCTTGGGTTTGGTAATATTCAATTGGACAGTGACCTAGTAGCCGCGCCAAGCAAGATAGTACTTGTTGACGGAGCTACTAGGTTTTGATAAAAACAAAAACAAATAATAATAAAAATGAGGGAAAAGTATAGAGATAGAAAACAAAGAGGCCATGTATAATATAATAACATTTTTTAATCATTTAATTATTCAAGATTTTTTATATATATATATTCATAAAGGAAAAAAAAATAAAAAGAGAGGTGCCAGTTACACAAAATTAAAAATGGGGTAAAAGAGGGTTTCATGTTGATACTTGATTTCTTGAGGAGTGCCGGCCCACCACCGGCCATAGTTCGCGCCTCACGCCATCATCGACATGTCGACGTTTATTATAACAAAAAAAACAGAGGACAAAAAAACTGAACAGCCTGGTTGACAGCAGGTCGACTCGACGTTTTATTTTTAAGAAAAAAAACTAAAAGCAAAACGTGGTTTTCGCCATAAAAAAAAAAACGTACAGATAAAATACGCCTCAATAGTTTGGTTGGAAAAAAAAAAATTCGTTGTCGCAGCATTTGTATAGTGGACGGTGATCGTGACGCCGGGTGGTGGTGGTACTAACTTTGACACGTCCATTGGGGGAAATACAACAATATGGGTATAGGTGCATAGTGTACGGTCAGCTGATGACGATAGGATGCCAGATATCGGACCGGTTGACTAGTGGACGTTATCACATACACAATTATTAAAATACTTTACACCTAATGCACACACATCTAAAATTGATAAGATTAATTAAACAAAAACTTGTATAAATTCTGCAACATTACAGTTGTTATTTCTTTAGAGTTTCCTTTTCTGTTTGCCCGTAAAGTTCCAGTTATATATATTCCTCTGTTTAAAAGTATGTGAGCTAATTTTACACTATTGTAATAATTGTCCATATACAACGATCAGCCACATGAATCAAGCCCTCCCAATAATTTTATGACAACAAATATGTGTGATTATAATCAGTCAACATGTCATGTCCTTGTCCAGAGTATATCATAATTTTGTGAACCAAACCCCCAGGTTCAGTAAGCATGTAAAGTTTGATTCCATATTTATGGCTTTTATTTTTAATATATTGATGGAAGACTAATCTCCCCCGAAACAAGACCATTGACTCGTCCACTGATAAGTTTTCACCACGTTCATAAATATCCAACATTTTATTATTAAAATATGTTGAAAGTGGATCAATTTTATTTAAACGATTAATATCTTGATTATAATTGTCAATAAAATGTAATGTTCTCAAAAGTAACAAAAAACGATTTCTACTTATGTATTTTCGAAAAAATTAAAATCAAATAACTCACTTTTCTTCTAGTAATCTTGCAATAGTTCCAGTATGAAAAAGTAATCCAATAAAAATCTTCATTTCTTGTATACTTGTATCTTTCCACTCATTTATTCTAGATGTAGAACTTCCAGATCCAGATAAAATATGAGCTACGTATCTATTTGTTTCATTCACGTACAACTCAAATAGTTTGTCATCAAATAATAGATTAAAATATTCAATATGATTACTTCCTTGCGGATACACTTTCAGTCCTTTTGATTTTGTAAAAGGAATACGTGTCACTGTAGGTTTCCTATTACTCCATGTGTAGTCTGATATAACGGGAACAGGTGTATCTGAAATATTATTTTCTTCTTGTTGTTCCGTAATATTAGTTTGCATTATCTGATGTGTCGATTCTGAATCGACGTCGTCGTCACCAGAATCTCCTTCCCCTAAATCAGTACCAGAACTCAAGCCGAAATCATCATCTGAATTTTCCAACATACTCAATAATTCTTCATCAGTCATAGTGCTGGTCATTTTTCTATACATTTATTTATAAATTTATATGATTTTATTTATTATATTTATTTTATCATGAAAAATACGTAAGAATTTACATAAAACACAAGGATAACTACCCTTAATTTTTCTTATTTTGTGAAAACATAAATTATAAATAAAATATAAAAAAATTACGTAAATGTAAATCCAACTGTGGGATGTAAAATTCAATACGGAACTGAATAGCCGACATAAATGTCAAATGTGTATGGCAATAGCTGCCTGAATAAAGCAATGATATAACACAGGTTACTGCATGTCAACAACGTATTGACACCGGCCACGGGCGCTTGTATGCTCATTAGCAGGGTTCGGATTTAATAGCACCAACAATTTTAAAATATGCGCTATAAATGATCGAAAAAACCGTAAAATATGCCCTTAAAACAACAAAATAGCAAAAAAAAAAAAAAAAATACAAATTTAAGTTGTATTAAATTTATTATTTAACTATTAAGTCATAGGTACGTTTAAAAAAAGAAAACTAAAATTTCTGTTAATAGTTTCAAAAAACTTATTTGATACGTTGAATAATGACATCGTTTGTACGCAACTATTTAAAATTATCTGTGTAAAGAAGAATAAAATTCAAGTAATTATTATTTATTAATTAAATAATATTTTTACTTATTTTACCTGAGTTACACTGTATGATTAAGTGTTTTGCCAAATTTTCAAATTTGAAGTTCCGGCGGTTATCAGTCAACAATGATTTGTAGAGATAGGATGTTAATAGCCTAAAAAAATTGCAAAAATGCCCTAAAAACTTCAAAAAATGACCTTAAAAATTATCTAAAATACTAATTGAGTAAGTGAAAAAACTTATTGATAAATAATATTTTTTATTAGAGATATGGGTATAATAATGGGTTTAATAGTAGAAGCATTTAAATAATTTATAAATAAATTTCAATAAAAAAAAAATATCAATTTATTCAATATAAATAAAAAAAAATTATATTAAAAATATTTTCATTATTAGTGGTAAGATGTTGATGTTATAATAATATTCATATTGCATTGTTGCACTGTACAATTAATATGTGTCTGATGTTATCAAACAAAAGACGACGACGTCGATCAGTTAATAAGTATTTGTACGATGAAAAACTTCTCTCGACATCAACGGACGTTATGGGTGCATACTTGAAGTAGGTCATGTCATCAGTAGTTAAATCTTCTGGAATATCTTCTCCTCTTGCGCCTTTGCCATCTAGCATTTCAGAGATGTTAGTTACAATTTTAAATCCATTATTCTTCAAAATTACATTCTCCATTTTGGTTGCTATTGTTTGTCCGATTTTATTTGGAGCTTTTTGGATTAAAGACTCAATTTTTTTTATGCATTTAATTGACTCTGATAATAACATTCCAGACGTCTCTAACTGAGTTATTTCCGAAGGTATAAATCCAAAGTTAGATTTTAAATAAATTAAATTTGTTTCCAAATTTGGGTTTAACACTTGTTCTAATGCGTCTTTAATTGCGACTGAATCATTTTTATCTAATTCCAGAATCACTTTTTTTATATCAGATAAATGCTCACAATAATAATTTGCTGCACTTATCCATGTTCCCCAGCGCGTGAGTACGGGTTCAGGTGGCAGAGGAATTCCGGGAGCAATATTTTTTAAAATTTGTACTCGACATGGCGCTTTCAGAAATACTTTTTTAAAACTTGATATAAGTTTATTTATATCTTGAAAATTTGTCCTAATTTCTTCAGCCACTCTATGAACCGCATGTGCCATGCAAGTTACGTGTATCATTTTAGAATATAGGTTTTGTATAACTTTTCCTGCTTTTACCATGTATGGAGCTGCTTCAGATAAAAAAAGTAAAACGTTGTCATGTTTAATTCCAAGAGGCCACAGTATAAACATAGATTTATCTTACATTTTGGCGATTGTTGAATTATTTGCTTTTTCCAAAACGTCAGTATGCAGCAAAAATATTTTTCCAGCATTTTCTAATTCCAAAGTCCCAATAATGACATTTACCACGTATCGCCCTTCAACATATGTTATTTCGTCCATGCTGACCCAAATTTTTTTATTTCCAATGTAGTCTCGAATTTTTTGCATTGTATCATTGTAACATAATTCAACATAATTCTTACGTAAAGTTGACTCATCTGGGATATCAACTTAAATATATTTTCTAAAATGTTCGTTGTTTAATTTATTAAGCGGAATATTAGCTAATAATAATGTTTGACATAGTTCCAAATTAAATGACGATTTTTTTGATGTAATACTTGTATCAGTCAGCAATAATTGAGTTTTTGGTTTTTCGCTTTCTTTTTGTCTCTTAACTCCCCGAATATGTTTTTCTCGATTTATATGTTGTTCTACAGTAAATCGTTTCAATGCTGAGACTTTAACACTACACACTTTACAAAATAACACTTCACCATCACTAGAAAAAATATCTTTCCCGTATTCATCAACATAACTGTGTAAGCGGCTACTTACAGACGATTTTGCTTTCCGCATGTTTAAAATCGTTAAATATAAAATTTGAAAATTATCGGTTAAATGATGACGGTGAATGCCGAAACACGACTCACAATAGTTCCTTTTACTGCAATTATAAGCACGTCAATCAATAGGTCTAATGTCTATGTCAATTTAATCTTGTTTATCGGATTTATTCCATACAATTTATAAATATAATATTCGATAAGCGTGTATGATCGGCGTATGTCTGAAAGAACACTTGTTTCATCAATATACAACACTTAAAGAGTAAATCTTATCGGAACGCGATAAATGTAATCACAACAAAAACCCCACAATAATAATATCAAAATTATTTTTTACTAATAGTCCAAATCCAAAGGTAGATTTTAAATAAATTAAATTTGTTTCCAAACTCGGGTGTAACATTTGCCCTAAAATCTATAATTTGTAAAAAATGCCCCACATTGTATAAAAAGTACAAAAAATGCCCTAAAAGATGAAAAAATGACTTAAAAATGTTGAAAAATGTCGTTAAAAAACAAAAAAAATGCATTTATAGCTAAAAATGCAAAATATAATTAGAATATTCTGCATTAAGAGAGCATGAAACAAATCTTTTAATTATAGGATCTGGTGGTAAACGCACACCTGGAGCCTCTATTTTAAACATTTCAACTCTAGTAGGCGCCTTCTTAAATACTTTTTTACAATTTGCGATTACTTTGTCAACAGTAATAAAGTGGTCACGAACCTGTTCGGCAATTTTATGTAAGCCATGTGATGCGCATGGGACATGAATAATTTTTGAGTAGAACACTTTTAACGATTTTCCAGCTTTTTTCATATATGGCGTCGCGTCTGATAAAAATAATAGTACATGGTCGTGCTGTATTCCATTTGACCATAATTTGCTCATAGATTTGTCGAAAACTTTACTAAATGTAAAAAAATTAGTTTTTTCTAATTGTTCCGAGTGGAGTAAAAATATGGATCCAGAATGTTCAATATCCAGAGTACCGATGATGACATTAGCAATAAAGCGCCCTTCGACGTCCTTGGGTTCATCGATAGTCACCCAGAAGCGGTTATTAGATACTTTATTTCTAATTTTTTCGATAATTTCATTGTAGATATCCTCAACGTATAATTTTCTCAGTGTTGATTCTTCTGGAATTGGATTTTTAGTATACTTTTCTAAAAATTGTCGAAACTTTACTTTGGATAACTTGTTTAGTGGTATATTTGTAGAAATAAGAGTCTTGCAAAGGTCGATACCGTAAAATGGGGTTAATAGAGTCATTTTTAAAGGTTTTTGGACATAAACTCCTACAGTTTTTGACATAAATCAATTTTTTTTTTTTCTTCAAGTTAACTCGATTACAAACAGAATCCAACTATAAAATCGTTTACACTTCCACTTCGTTATTTTGTATATATTTTTAAAACTGTGGCCCTATTTAAACTGGTTAGGGGATAATAGGGTCACGTATTAAAATTCCATAGTAAACCCTAGTATAACCTAATAACAACAAATAGGGTTAGCTGGAAATTAACATAAATTGATAAAGCATTTAAATTTGAATATTTACCCTAACATTTTGGGACAATTAGTGAACTGCGCAAGAAATCTTATCACTTATTAATGGAATCAACACAAAAATAAAACAAATTTTTTTTATAAAGACTGTTTTAGTTTTATTTTTTTTGTAAACAATACAAAACAAAATAATATTAAATAGAATTCCATCAAAATGATGAATGCAACAAAATAAAATAAAATATAAACTTTCTCGTTATAAATATAAACAAATTGATCACAGTTATTCAACACTTAACTTAAAGGTATTTGGTTTTTTAATGAAGTCTTTTTAATTTCATTAATATCTTGAGAGAATTTCAGTCTTCCTCTTCTTAAAATATCTGGTCCTGGTATAACTCTTATAACTTCTTCTAGCTAAAAATTGCAAAAATCAATAATGTCTGGGAAGACTTGAATGTTACCAGTATGTTCACCAGTAACATTGTTGCTTGGTCGGGTAAATGAACCTTCATAAAGTAATCCTTCTTTAATAATTTTAGTAACCTTTGCAAAATACAATTTTGGAATTTTTTTTCCGAAATTTACAATAACCCAAGTTCCTTCTTTAATGCTGGAGCTTGAATGGACTTCTTGATGAAATGATTCGTTTAATCTTGCTGGTTCATCTTCATTTTCTGACTCTTCAAACTGATTCAAATCTTTTCCTCTTATACTTTTTCCAGGAGGAACTTTTAAACGTTTTTTTCTTATGTTTTTTTCAGGCTCATCAGATCCATATCTTTTTTCTTTCAAAAATTGCATTAAATTTTCTGCAGACCCATTGTTTTCTTGTGGTAACATATCCAACACCTTATTTTTGTTTAAAGGAAATAATCCGGTTTTTTCAAACCCGGCTCTAATATTATCGCCATTTTTATCTGAATTTTTTTCAATAGTTTCTTTAAGTAATGATGGAAAACAGTCTTTATTTATAGTTGAAGCTTTTTTTCCTCTGGCAGTTGATGTTTTCCAATTATCAAGGACTTTTCTCCAGGCTCCTTTCAGCGGCCGGAAAAAAGCAACATCTAATGGTTGGGTTAGGTGTGTGGAGTTGGGTGGCAAAAAAACAAAATCAATTGAATATTGTTCACATAAATTTAACACCTGAGGTGATAAATGAGAACTTAAATTATCGCCTATGATAATTTTTTTACCCTGTAATCTTCTGAAAAAATGGAATTACTATTTTGCTAAACCACTCAGTGAAGCAACATCCATCAATCCACCCTGATGGTGTTCTGTTATATCTTGTACCTATAGGGCCACCTTCAGTCCATGTGTCATACAATTGTAGTGATTTATAGATTACATCACCGTTGTTGAACATTTAGTTTGGTTCATTATCCTTTCTGGGTACTTAGTACCTCGTTTACAAATAATCTTTTTTCTTCCAGGGTCATCACTTAAATTTGTTTCATCATAATTTATGATATTGCTTGGAGGAACGCCTTCTACAGTTTTGCTAAAATTGTCAAAAAAGCTGTTAATATCAGCTCTACTAACTGCAGCTCTACTTCGCTTGATGTTTTGACACATTCTTAAAGTCAAACTATTTTTGGGCCTTTTTAAAAAAGATTTTGCCCAGTCTGGACCAGGTCTGTTATCTTTGAACTTTTTTACAGTACATTCAAGTTGATCCAGATGGAACTTTACAAACATTCTAATTTCTAGCTCACAAATTGGATAACCCCATTCTGAGCATTTTATAATATTGGCTACTAATGAATTCTCAACTGTTGGCAACAGACACGGTTGACTTCCAAATTTTCTTATAACAAAATCTTTATTAATTTTTTTTTTATTATTATATCTTTACAGACAACTGTAGGGAATATCTGAACTTTTTGCAACCGATCTTATAGAATGTCCTTTTGATATTAATGATAAGGCCTCATGTATTAATTTAGGATCATGCAATCTATGTCTTTTACTTCTAGGATCAGGTACATAATTACGAGGCATATCTAAAAATAAATATTCTATTATTAGTTAAAAATGTGTGTGATGTAAAAATCTAGGTGGAGTCACCTAGATTTTTACATCACACAAATTTTTTAATATATTTTAGCTTATAAAAAAAAAAATAAATAATGAGTTGTTTTAATTTTAAGTACTTAGTTCCGAAGTATATTTTTAAAAGTAAAAATAATATAGTTAAACGTTTTACTTACTTTTATTGGTGATTTTTTGACTAAGTTTTCCCGGCTATGAAAAATCAAACAAATTTTGTCATATTTTAAATGTTATCAAATGATAACAAAAATAAAGCCGAAACACTTTTTAGTGGTACCATTGGAATACCTGGTATGCGTTAACTCCAAAGACATACTATCTCTAATGTTTCGATAAATATTGTGGCTGTTATCATTGATCAATGAAAAATTCTCTGATGTTGACCCGATTCAACCCCGAGACCCGTTTCACTCCATTTTACGGTATTAAAAGTAGATTTTTGTGGAATATTTGTAAGTAACTGCTGTTTCTTTTCAATTTTATTTTGCTCTCTTTTAATGGCTTTTAAATGTTTTTCGGTTTTTAAGTGTTGAGTAACGTTTAACTTTTTGTCACTATTAACTTTACGTTCGCACAATTTGCAAAATAGAATACTTGCATCAATCGAAAAAACTTCATCGCCAAACTCGGACAAAAAATACCTAAGTTTCGAATAGTTCGATATTTTATCTTTCGGCATTTTACGTAAAATATCGAAACAGAAAAGCAAATAATACACTATTGAGTAATGAATGAATATGAAACAATCAAACGATACGGAGAAATGACTGACGCTAAAATACGTACTATAGTCGACAGTATATCATATCATCAACATTATGGAACAATAATAAAATAAATTTAAACAAAACAGATAGAAGGTATAAAATGTATAAATATATTTGACTACGCCCGGCTACTTAAAAATAGATTATGACTCATAATCAATATTAGTATCAATTTTCAATATAAAACGAAAATGTGGGATTTTTTCTTATAGATTCACATAAATTAATACTATTTTTCATTAAATATTAACGAGATTTATAAAAAATGCAAAATAAAGCGTTAAGTTACGTATTTTAACAAAAAATAGCACCAAAACTTCAAAAACAGTACTAAAAACCTAAAATACTTCAAATATGCAAAAAATAGCAAAATAAAATTTCGTATTTGAAGTCTCTGGTGTATAAAACAAATTTATAGCAAACTCTGCTATTTTTATCTGTATACTATAATAAGTAGCAAATTATATAAAATCCGAACCCTGCTCATTAGGGTGGTCTAAAAGTGACAAAAAAACATTTTTTTTTTAAGTTATACTCCTACACTTGAAAATTGTTCTACCTGGTTTCATATACAATTCTGAAAAAAAACATTTAAAATTGTAACTTCTTCGATCACTTTATTGCATGCATATTAGGGTAACAATTTAAAAAAATTTCACTATTTTTAAGGGACCACCCATTTAAATTATGTGTATTTACAATATAAAGGTCCAAAAAAAATTCAGCAATATAACCCAACCGATCAGTCGGTCCGCCTCAGCATCAGTTGGCTGATCGGTCACTCCGCCCATACCGCCGCCACCACCTATGGTCGGTTAGAAACACTACACTGTCGTCGTCGTCGTCGAAACCGAAGGTTTGAGCAAGCATCCAGCATGTATTAATGAACGATTATTGGCAGCGTATGTAAATATTACTGTCATCGGCAAATAACTAGTTGTTGCACGTTAATGATTGCATTTAAACGATATGTAAATTCTAAGAATTATGATTACTGCCAAGTAATTTAAGTGCTCAGTTTGAGGAAAACAACTTTTTAAATTACGCCGTGTATTAGTATAAAAGGTCATTTTTGGTATAAAATTTTGCATAATGCAATTATACACTGCTGCACTTGGCACGTATCGCGATTATATTAATAAACAAAATACGGGTAAAAACGGCGGTTTGACGTGGATAGGACACGATTTCTCGGGACCCGGTAATAAAGTCGCAAACGAAAATAACAAATTTATTGCTGAAAGCCTGCCAACAAACGAGATCGACTGGATAGCTTTGGAACACGACGTACAATATCATAACGCTGGGACCGGTAACATCGAAGAAATAGGAAATTACGATTTACGAGCGGCTGAAAGAGCATTGAACGCCAAAAATTCAAATTTTGGTGGTAAATACGCTACATCCCTGGGATTGTACGCAAAACATTTTTTAGAACGTACTTGGCAAGGAATATCAGGAAGTTCAAAAGCTCTATATCCTAATTCAAAAAAACCAGACATTCCTATAGACTGGTTCACGACCGCTAAAAACAGACGAAAAGGTGATTTAAACTCAAATTATGAATAATTAAGATTTTTTTTGAACTTTGAACTTTTTTCACTAAAAACGGTAAAAAATGTTTAATTTAAGGTTATTATATGTAAAAATATAGTTTTGTAAGGTTTTTACGCGAAAAAAAAATTTTGTTCCAAAATCTACCGAAAAGACGTAGGTAGTTTGTACTAGTCGGATAATACATTGTTTTTCGTATTTTGCACAGAAATCTTTAAAAAATCGTAGAGAATAGAGTTTTTGAGTTACAGACTTGGTACGTCTACACGTGAAGGGTCTTGGTGATAGCTTTCTTTTAAAAAAAAAAAAAAATTGAACTTTGAACTTTTTTGAACTTTTATAAAAAAGTTTGAGCCTTTTAAAAATTTTTATTTTTTTCTTGTAGAATTATTATCAACATATCATGTGGAAGAGAATTCCTACGGAAGCGGAACAATGTCAGGAACACAACAAACGACAGGTGGAGACAAACGAACTGATGAACAAGCTGGTCTCGATTCTGGAGGAACTTCAGCGAAAAAACCGAATTATGGAACGGCCGAAGCGCTCACTGCCGGCACGAGTATTCCGGGCATCGGTCTTAACGCTGACGCTGGTGACGCTACTGCTGTCAGTATGTTACACATGGTCATCCCTAGACCCATTGACAATACAAAAAATAAGTACTTGGTTTTTTCTAAAAATCATGAGTTTCTATCGTATGGATTACAGTGGAAACCTATTAAACATACTGGAAACGCATTTTGGGGCACAACATCGTTAGCGGAAATTCCCGTGGACCGGTGTCACTTGTACCTGACGGTGGACGAAATTGACATGTTACCGCCGGGCAGCTACATCGACAAGGTTGTCTGCAAAGTCGTATTGCGAGGCGTTCGTACGGCGTACGAAACTGCGACTACACAATCGGAGTTGGCCACTCTCAATCAGAATAAATGGGGAGTGTACGCTGTTGGACTGAATAAATCCGTTCCCGGCGTTACAAAAAAATACACGACGGTGGCAATACATTCTATGGAGCCCCAAGACGTCAAAGATTCAGCACCCGATACTTATGTCAAACAACACGACGCCTGGTACTCTAGCACGTCGAAACCACAAGACACTCTACCCTGTAGTTTCATGAATTTACCGACCGTGCTACAAAACTACTATACACTGTACACGGACACGGGTGCTCAAAGCGGATACCAGTGGCCACGGTTCAACAGACACGTGACAAAATTTGACGCCAACGCCGCGGTAGGCACTGTAATCGTTAACTACGAATACAGCCCTAAAATAGGTCTACTAACTCGGCCTTTAAATAGTTACGAAACTTTTTATTGGCCTGACACTAGCAACGTAAATTACTCTCAGTGTGAACAGGCCGATTATTTTTGTCCAAACGGATCGGCGATACAAAAAATAAAAAGGGACAAACACAGTTCCACCTTCATAGAGAGTAAACCCATGGGTATCACCTCCGTACAAAAATTAATGAAGAGCTGGACGTACGTGGAACAGAGTCGTCACGTGTCTCTGATAGATCTGTCGCACGTGCTAGTTAAAAAAAATAAAAATTACTCTCCGGCCGAAGCACAGCCTTCGTTGCACGTGGGCGTCTATCCCGTGCCCAGAATCACGGCGAAGGACAACAATATAGTGCCCACAAAATTTTTGGACGTCGAAGCGTACTATACGGTAGAGACCAGTTGCACCGTGAAATTCGGTTATCCTACTGTAATGGCGCGGTTCAAAAATTGTAACGTAAACGTTGAAAAGGAAATGTTCACAATGTCGGTGGAGAGCGGCGTGGCCGAAGCCGACGGCAATTATTCTACGTGTTATGGAAAACATTCGCTCAAACAGATCGATGCGGAAAACTAATTGAGGCGGCCGTTCTTGAAACTGTAAGAGAGAATCTGGCCGCCAAAAAAAAAAAATGATAAAATGTCCACGTCCACGGCAAAAACACCAGACCAGCCTATTAGTGTCCCCTCGCCTACAACTCCTAAACCGATGACTTCGACTACAGCGTCGACTACAACACCGTCGCCCGCTGCCAAAAGCGCACAACACTCAGACGACTCGTCATTGCCTCCCGTTCCTGATTACATGGCGATGCGAGAACGATACTATTTTGATGGTTACGGGGCTCTTAAATTTGCGGGAATACTGACGGAACCTCAGTGGAGGAGCAAGAGATTGGAAAACGATGACAGGAAAGCCACTCAGGACGAGGTCAACAAACTACTTTCCACGTACTCAACGAGCGTACAGACGGGCGACCAATTGGCCGACAAATATAATTTTGTAAATAAAAAAGGAATATATAATCCAATGTATTATTTATTGAAAAATAAAAAACCATAATTTTTTTTTATTTTAAAAAATGTGTTTATTTATTTCATAATACATTATATTTTTGTAGTAACAGATAAAACATTTTAGGATTAAATTTTCCCATGTATTTTTTGAGGAAAGGCGCAGCTTTCCATTCGTACTGACAAATACGTGTTTCAAATGCAGGGTCCGAAAACAAAGGTATAAAATGATTTGTTAAAATAATAACAGGGGGGCCTTGTACGTCTTGATCACCCATATAATTTACGCGTATTTTTGCGCTATCCCCCCCCAATAACATTTTAAGTGTTTCGGTTTCGTTGGACTCGTAATTCGGTTCGTTCCAAAGTACTAGACGCCTATTGTCCATATCCTGATAACCGAATTGCGAGTGTTTGTTTAGTGTGGAAATAATGCCGTACTTTAAAAAAAACGAACACACAGCGTCGAAAAAAAAATTTTTTCCAGCGTTCGGAGGAGATAGAACCGACAGAGTGTTTCGCTTGGGTACGTTTTTTTCGACGACGCCGTACAAGTCGTACACGAATTTATGTATTTTCTCTAAATCGTCGTCAAACTGAAACATTAACAGTTCGACGGCGATGTCGAGCGATTCTTGCGGCGTATAGTAGAACGATGACTTACAATTAGTGAAAGCGTATAAATTGAAATAGGGACGGACACCCGGTGAACAGTAATAGTCCCAGTACTGCTGTACCGACCACTGATTTAAAATAATAGCCCAGTTTTTTATAATTACCGAAAGGTTTCGATCGCTTCCACTAATGTACTTTGTGTGTTCGTTGTTTATAAATTCTATTGTTTTATTTACGGCATTAATGGGGCACGTGGGATACATACGAATTAAAATTTCTAGTTCCCTTTGTTTTCTTTTCCTGCCCTTTAACAACGTATTGTCAGTAGAACCCCCCGTTTTTAATAATAAATTTATAATTTCCTATCGTACTTCTGAATTTTTTTTCGCCTCGTCGCTGGGCTGTTGGACAATTGCCGCGTTACCGAGGCAACAAGTTTGTCTATTAGCCTTCCCTGCTCCGATAGGCTCTCCGAACAGGTTCCAGTCATTTTGATGTGCGTCCTCTTCCACCATTCGCTCTTGTCTAATCCCCGAACGTCGCGTCTCCGGTAGCATTTCAACTCCCACAGGAGGTCGTCGGGTTCTACCTGTAAAAATTATTATACAATAGTAAATAATATATACACACGTAACTCAACAACAAAAAATAGAAATTTACCTCCAACGATAAGACGCTCGATAGTTCTGCCACCGCTAACGAAATATCGAAGGACATTTTGCCATCCTTGGGCGCCGACGTCAACCGCTCTAACATTTCTCGCCAGTTGTGGCCGTCTGAAATGTCTGTAAGACTCACTTCCCCGCAACCATGAACATCTGCAGCTTGCATTGGAGCTTGTGCAGACGTAATTGACGTGGACGTGGTCGTAGTGCTTCGCAATGATGACGAAGTCGATTGACGATCCTTGGCCGATAACATGTCGAATTCTGTCCTCCAGTTCTGCCACGACACGATCAACTCCACCAACTGAATCGGGGACAAAAATCCACGAATAATATCTCTTTGTCCACGACGCAGCCACGAATCTATTGTACAACTGACCGGCTTGTTCTGCCAGCCAATTGTCAATATCCTGGAGAATTGCGCCGCCGCGCCACGCAACGCCTCCAGGAGCGAGATAGTGGTCTCTGAGTCGATCGTGTTCACCTGTACTAGTGCTTCCCTCCATGATTGTGGCGGTGGCAGTTTCTGTAGAAGTTTCGTTAGCCCCATCGGAGTAATGGCCCCATAATGATAATTGTTGGCCAGGAACAACAGGAGTACTTGTACCGGTAGTAGTTCGTCGGTGCCGGAGACGTGCAAGCACGCCGACAAAGCCAGTATCTGTAAAGCAAAAATATTAATGGAACACTATGTATTTTCTCAATTTAATATTTTTGCTTACCAAATCGGTTACGTCCATGTGTTGTTGTTTGTGCTGAATTTGTGTTAAGTTCTTCCATGGGGAATGCAAAAATAAATTTTTGTATGTACGCACTTCTTCCGTCCAACAGTGATCCTTGAACAATTCACGTTTGGCCGCCGCTAATTCGTTTTCGTCAGCGTTGTTGTTGTTGTTCAAACCGTCGTCTTTTTGTGTAAAAATTTCGTCTGAACAGTCTATAGGAACGCCTTGTGAACAATCTTGTTGGTGAGAATTCATAACGACTATTACCACGATAATTTTGCTAACGAATAATAATACTAGAGTTTACTAGAGTACAACTGTTGTAACACTAATAGTTTACCTACCATCATTCTCCGCTTATATATAGTCGCATTATATATGTGGTATATATAATAATCGTATTTGCATTAACGAGTGCATTCACCTGCATCATTAATACATGCTGGATGCTTGCTCAAACCTTCGGTTTCGACGACGACGACAGTGTAGTGTCCATAGGTGGCGGTATAGGCGGAGTGACGTTCTGGGCGGCACACCGTCAGTGATCCGTCACTCCGCCGATCACTCCGACTTTTCAAAGTAACATCTTCTCGCAGGTAGAACCCGAAGACCTCCTCTGGGAATTGAAATGTTACAGGAGGAGAGACGTACGGTCAGTCGAAAAAAGCGAGTGGTGGAAACACACTCATATCAAGATGACGGGGACGTGTATGGAGAGCCTTTCGGAACAGGGAATATTGATAGAGAAGCTCGTTGCCTCGGTAACTCGACAGTTGGCCAACAGTCCTCTAACGCGTCGAAAGAAAACACCTCGATACGACAGGAAATTATAAATGTACTTCTTAAAACCGGTGGTACGCTTGACAGTGTACAGTTAAAAGGTAGAAAAAGAAAACAAAGGGAGCTTGAAATATTAATTAGGATGTACCCGACGTGTCCGATCAATGCCGTGAGCAAAACTATAGAATTCATTAATAACGAACACACTAAGTATATAGGAAGTATATAGGGACCTGACTGTTATTATTAAAAATTGGGCAATTATATTGAATCAGTGGTCGGTACAACAGTACTGGGATTATTATTCGTCGGCCGGTGTTAGACCTTATTTTAATCTTTACGCCTATACAAACTGTCGGTCTTCTTTTTATTATACGCCGGAGGAGTCGTTGGAAATAGCTTGCGAATTATTAATGTTCCAATGCGAGGACGACACGGAAAAGATCTATAAGTTTTTGTGCAATCTATACGACGTAGTCGAAAAAAACGTTCCCAAACGCAACAAGCTTTCGGTTCTGTCCCCTCCAAACGCCGGTAAAAATTTTTTTTTTGACGCTGTGTGTTCTTACTTTTTAAACTACGGTATTATATCAACGTTAAACAAACATTTGCAATTTGGGTATCAAGACATGGACAATCGTCGTATAGTTAAATATTCAAAAAAATTTGGCACGTCAGTTTTTTGAAAATTTAGCGAGAATAGTTTTACAAAAAGCTATATCTAAATCAGTGCCGTATTTAGGTCTGATGGCGCCCCTGGCAAATCTCTGAATTTGCGCCCCCCCCACCCCGAAAAAAAAATTCGCATTAGTTATAATTTATAACTTTTTTGATAACTAATGACTTTGAAATAAAAACAGTTATTGCATTAAAAATATGTGATTATTATTAACAAGTTGACTGCCTTACCGTTTTCTTTGAACTTATCAATCTCGCTTTGAGTATCATACTAGATACACAACCGCTTTTTGTTTACTGACTTCACTTTTTTATCTTGCCTTTCTAATCTGCCCCTGAGAATCAAACATGCTTCTCACTTAAACTTGCCAATCTTATTTTGAGTATAATATATTCACTCATTTTTTTATGAAATAAATTCTAAGTATTAAAGTTAACTCACAAAACTATTATTATTTTTTAAACTAGACCCAATTTGCTATTCAATGGTTTTTAGGCCATTTGAATAGCTGCATTTCTTCCCATTTTATTCTCATTTTAAAATTGAAACATTTATTAACTATAAAATACTATAATAAAAGATGAAATAAACATTTTTTTGTTTAATTAATAAATCTTTAATATTTAATTAATGATAAAAATAATATATTAATATATCTGTTAAAATACATAACAAATAAAACAAATTTAACAAGTATAAAAACATTTATAGGAACTTCCTTTGGACAATTTATTTAACAATTTTAAAGAAGTAAAATTAAGTGTATACATAAATATTTGATTAGTGTACAATTGACTATCAACCAACTATTTCACAACCTACTGTTGACTGAAGAAATATTGCATGCAAAAAAATTAATAACAAATATATAAAAATATACAAGTACATAACAATTAAAACAAATTTAATAAGTATAAAAACACTTGTAGGAACTTCCTTAGGCCAATTTGGTAAATTCAATAAAGTAAAATTAAGTATATACATAGACACTTGATTAGTGTATAATTGACTATAAACTTACTTTTACACAAATTTATGTTCACTGAAGAAACATTGCATACAAAAAAATTTACTGCAAATTTTACACTTTGTTGTTACTTGCCTGGTTATTTTTTGAGCATGAGTGCGTCCTTGAAGCATCATTTCTTTATAGCAAACAAAACAACGTCCTCTTGATTTAACTTTTTCTAGTTCATGATATTGTGTATTTTGTACTGATTTAGACAAATTCATTTCATTTGTTTTTAATAAACTTTTAACCAGTATTTCTCTAAACACAGTAATATCCATTTTCTCTTGATGTATTTCTTCATATAATGATAATGCGTTGAGAACTGATGTGTTTAGAAGTAATTCAAAAATAATTTTTTTATACCACTTTAAAGTTCTACGAAGTGGGTTGTGGTATGAATTTCTAAGATCAGTGACATCCACTAACCCTTTACCTTTATTATAATCTATAATAACTTGAGGTTTTTTAACTTCTTTTCCTCGTTTATTTAAAATAGTAGCTTGAGAATCGGAGTGTTGAGTTGATATCATTAGTACATCACGCTTATCTTTCCATTTTAAAACAGTTATTCCTTTATTACATTGCTTTGCAAACACTTCTCCTTTTTTTAGTTTTTTGTTTACCACATCTTTTGGATTACATTTTCTGTTGGAACGAAGAGTACCAACCAAATTAGTAGATCTGTTCAAAAGTTCACTAGCCAAATCATAACTACTGTACCAATTATCTGTATACATTGTTCTGCCTAAATCAAGGTAATCTTCTGCCATTTCCATTACCACTTTTGTTGACACTCTCTGACCAGCCATAGCCTCCTTACCAGCATAAATTTTAAACCCAATAGTGTAGAAGTTATTAATGCATAGTTTAAATACTTTAATACCATATTTATGAGCTTTATTTTGTATATATTGCTTAAATGACAGACGACCAGTAAATGGAATTATTGACTCGACAATACACATAGACTGCTTTGGGTCCGTGCCATTTTAAACTTTGATAAAAATAAATCAAGCAAATTATTTACTTTGTATAAACGGTCACCTGGAGGACAAAGAGCATTATTGCAGCAGTGAAATGTTCGCAAAAGAAGTTCAAATCTTTTTCTCTTCATAAATTGAGGCATATTGGATGTATAAATAATACTATTTGTTTTCCAGTATGAAGCTATGGAAGGTTGAGGACATAAACCCATCCACATAATAATTCCTAAGAATGTTTTCATTTCAGTATAAGTAACATTTTCCCATTTTTTAAGGCGTGAATGAGGACTAACTACAGATATTAATAACTCTGCAGCATATCTGTTTGTTTCTTCAACTAATAATTGAATAACTTCATCATCCAAAAATAATGAATAAAAATCAAAAGGAGTACCTTCAGATAAACTATCAATTATATCTGGATTAATACCAACTGGTTCATCCATTTGATTGAATATAAACTGAGGCTGTAATTCTTCATCAACATCCACCCAAATAGGCTCTGAATGTTGACCGTTACTTTGTTTTGCAGTTGACTGCACATTTTCAGAAATTGATGCAATATTACCATTCTATAAGTAAACAAATATTTCAATTAAATTATAAGAGAAATAATATACAGAAGATGGATTCAACAAAATCATAGTATATTAATTTTCTTACCTCCAACCCAAGATCTTCATTTTCCAAATCACTATCCGTGTCATAGCCAGACCAATCGGATAAATTTTCTAAAATATTATTTATGCTATTTTCATTCATATGTAATTAATATAGTAATTAATCATTCATATAGTAATTAAAAAAAAAACANAAAATTTTTTTAACAATGTAATAATTTTAAGATTATTAAAACATTATATTTTAATAATCATATTAAGTTATATAAATGTAAATATTATATAAATATTATTGTGTAAATTAAAAAGACACTTTTCTTGCTTTTTGTGAAGCGAATTTATCAATGGTATCATTAAAAGAAATTGTTTTTACGATGTCTTTCTCAATTGATAAAATTGCCATGCTAGTGAGACGACTTAGACTCATTGTAGATCTTAGATAATTTTTTATGATTTTTAATTTGCTAAAGCTCCTTTCGCATGAAGCTGTAGTCACAGGAATTGTTAAAAATATTCTTAATGCTACTTCTAAATTAGGATATAAGTCTTGGAAAGAGTACTTATGAATATGTTTTAAAATATCTAGGTGGGTAGCCTTCTCAAGTGAGGTCATTAATAATGGGCCCTGATATTTAAAGCTTTCAATTTCAGAGTATAACTCTGTAGCATTCAGATCCCGATCGTACTTTAATGCTAAGTCATTAACCCAAAGTTTTATGTTTTCAGACTCCATAGTTGATAATGAGTTACCTGACAAACCTGACAAGAAACTAAAATCAGATGCTATTTGTGACATTTTTTCAAACCTCCAACATAAACTAGAAAGTATAGAATCTAATGCTTCAAAACATTGAGCTCTAAATTCATTTTCTGTTGATTCATAACTTTTATTTTCTCTCTCTGTTGGTTCAACACTTACAGGTTTAATTTTAAGCTTCCGTTTGTTTGTAAATTCTGATAAACATCTATTTTTTACGTTCATCTTACCTGGGACATATACATCTCGTACAGGCCATTTTCTTTTTTTATAATGATCATGTTTTGTTCTTGAGTCCCATAGGCATAAGAAACAGCAGTACTTAGTGTATCCACCTTGCAAGCCAAGAAGCATACCTATAACTTTGAGATCACCACAAATGTACCAATTGTGACATTCATATTTAATCAATACAATTAATTTGCCTATTGTATCATAGATTTCTTTACAGTTAACAGCATGACCTATAGGGATAGACGGCTTCGCATTCCTATTGTGCAGAAGAACAGCTTTAAGACTTTCCTCCGACGAATCTATAAAAAGGCGACATTCATTTGAAATATATGGTTGTTTCATTTCGTCAAAAAGTCCCTTAACGTCATGACAATAACAGAACTCATTTTCTTTTGTGAAAAAATTAGCATACTCCTTACTTCTAAAGCGATAGATAGTTACTTTTGTGCCAAGATCAAGCAAATTCCAGTGTTGCAGCCTAGAAGCAAGTAATTCCGCTTTGGACTTGGACAACTGCAAATCTCTTATAAGATCGCTGAGCTCAGGCTGAGTTATCAAATGTGGACTATTATCATCACCGACAAAGTTATCTGAGCATGATTGTTCACTGTCACTATGCTCTTGAAATGTAATACTACTTGAAGATGAATCTGTGTGAGTAGGGTTATTTCTTCCGGGTGGTGTAGGATGGCACCTCTGCATATTTTATTTTATTTTTATTTTTTGAATTAAACTCGTAAGTTTTTGTTAAACAAAAGTAACAATCGGTTAAATGATTAGTTGGTTCTCTCCATATTATTGGTTTACCAAACTTCAGAGATCTTTTTTTACCTGAAAACTAGAAGCCGAGGACCAATCTACAGTTATTGCAAATTACATGAGGAACCCAATTTTTATCTTGATTTGATACTACACATCCAAAATAATGTAGATACGCTTCTTGCAATGGTTTCGTTATAGAAAAACCCCGATTCAATTGAACAATTTTGCCACAAACATAACAAAATCGGTTAGGATCTAGCTTACATATTTTCAACGATATTTTTATAGGAAATTGCGACTTTTGAAACACAAGTTGTTAACAAAATGAAACGATAAACGTATGTGAAGAATTTCAGGTAGACAAAAACAAAGACCTTTCTTATCTCAGAATTGTGACGTGCTGCGGGAAAATTTTTTTTTTTTTAACTACCTACTGTAGCCTACATTAATAATATATGTCGCATTTCATAAACAAAAAAAATTTTTTTTTTTTCTAAACTAGTGTAATTCTTTATAAGTTTTGTAATTTTTTCATTTACATACAAATTATTTTGAACTTTAATATTTATTTTATCTATACATTTAACATAAGATAAAATTTCAAAAGTTACATTTAAATTATTAAATTAATAAACAAATATTTATCATAAGTTTGTTAAATAATCAAGTTTAATTCACAACGGTTAATTAATACATACAAATAATTTTTATTAAACTGATAATTATCTATTTTTTTATTTTAGGTTAAAATTTTAAAAATTAACATTTTATAAACAAATATTACGTAAATTCATTAATTATTTACAAATAATAACGTAGAGGTACACAAAATTTGACTATTTACTTTTTTAATTCAAGGGAGAGAGAGGAGGAGGAGTATCTTTATGGCCCTAGGGTAGCGTATCGTGACTGTTTGGTATTTGATACCGCTTGTCATCCTTAAATTCTAATGCAATTTTATTTATTTTTTCGGTGAATAATTTATGCTAGTATGAACGAAAAACATACATGCTACGTAAAATTTTAAGATCGTGAAAACTTATACAATTTAAATAGTCATTTTCACTTATTGTCTCATTTAATACCCTTTTTTTTAATCCCTTATTTTTTTTTCCACATCTTTACCACACCGCATCATGTATGTTTCATTGCATATCCCAATATATTTGTTTAAAATTTTACCTCCCATTTCATCTTTCATGAGTCCTATAACTTTTTTGTTAACAAGCGGTATACCATACACGTTGTTGGGCTCATAGTTTGACGTATCGAATTTTTCTATATTTTTTTTTTTGACATCATCGTACACATCTAAAAATAGAGAGTTAGTATATATATATATCTTAAATTAAAGCTAATGTAATATACTTTAATTTGAAAAAAAAAATTTGACCTCTGGACTTGTCTTCATGGTGAAAATGGCTATCGAATGCTATTTTTGTGTGAAAATTCTCGATTTTATAATTTACATTTTTTACTTTAAAGTGCTATAACATTTTAAAAAATGTATGGATCAATACAATTTTTTCATGAGAAGTAGTATTTATATACATCTTTCATTGGATATACTTTTTTTTTAAATCAGACTATTTCCCTATATATGGGGGGGCTTCAAATATAAAAAATGCATATAAAAAGTAGAACTTTTTCAACTTAACTTTTGAAAGTGTTCCGGAAGGTCTGACACTTTTATATATATCTTAAATTGAAACTTATGTAATATACTTTAATTTGAAAAAAAAAAATTTGACCTCTGGACTTTCTTCGTGGTGAAAGTTGACATCAAAGTTAATAAAAAAATACGATTTTGGTAAAATAATTTTTTTTAATATTTTTAACCTTCCGGTGGGCGCGTAATCGAAACCCACACGAGTAAGCGCGTAGCAGCACTTAGTGCTGCCTGTAGAATATGACCTTTCTNACTGTGCTGCGACCCCCCTGTGCTGGGTTTCTTTCAAATAATTATAGTGGAAATCGTATATGATAGTATTGGAAATTTCCAATACTGAAAATCCAACGTAAATCGGTCTATCATATACAATTTCAAATTTTGTTAAATGAATGTGCAACGTGCTTTCCCGCTAGGATCCTAACAGTTGGCTTAGCTGTACCTTAACGGGGCAACGCTGGCCCTATATAATTTATATCCCACTAGAAGGGCGGTTAGCGGTTTCGTGGCCAATAAATATAGACTCTTAACTAACAACGATAACAAACATTTATTTCTATTTAATAGTATATTTAAATATAACCTGACTGGATCTCTAGAGATGTTGTGGTATCCAAGTTAGGTGAGCGACAGCGGCGAGCGTACACAATCCGATTGTAATAAAATAAATCTAATAATTAAATTAATTGTAAAATGTAATATTGTCGGAATTAGGTTGTAGTAAATAAAGTATAATCTGTAATAAAAAATGAGTAGCCACGAGCGTGGTAAAATGTCGACTGACTGTCGTTATATATTTATTTAATGAAGAAGAATATCATCGGTTTTGTTTACACCCGCGCGTGCCGCATATCTGTAGTAGGTCGTAGGGACGTTTGTGCTGATCAGGCACTAGTGTGGTATTGAAATGTTAATGTTGGTGAAGGACGAATAATGTGTACGTTNATTGGTTAAGGACGAATAATGTGTACGTTACAAATGGCTGCCATATTGCGACACTATCAAAATTTGGTTTAGATATTAATACACTTGCCCCGTATCTTTTACCAATATTTTCCCACTTGGTTACTATTTTCACGTCTATTCTTTTTTCTGGGTTTTCCAGACATTTACCGTATATACTGTTGATCATAAGTTTAAAAAATTCAATTTCGAAAGCCGACTTGGACTCCATACGTTTTCTCGAATTCAAATCTATATACGCCTTCATCCAAGCCGATTGTTCGAATTTAGTACTTTATTTATCTTTTTTACCTTCAAACCCAAGATAATTGCCTGTTTTAAAGTCCGATAGTGAATAACATAATTTTTTTTATCATTTAAATTTGGAATTAATTTTTTAAATTTTGAATTTGGTGGTTGTATATTTTCAGGACATAACGGTAAGTCAGAATGGAGTTCATGTAAATGCTCACAATACTCTAAATCGACATTTAATATAATCCCCCAATCACTATCATTTTTTATTTTTGTTACAGCTAATTCATCGATTTCTGATTGTTGTAACCATTTAAAATTTCCAAGTGGAAGGTGTTGTTTTAGCGCATCTCCATACAGATTGTTGGCATCTAGATATAATAAATATTTTGACGGTTTCAACGAATCGTAATCATCGCAAAATTTATTATTAGCTTCACTATAATGTGGTACTCCACCACGAATCCCATTATTAATAAAACTAATCATCTTGATGTCCGTTATCAGTTCTAATTTTACCCCGGTAATTCGTTTCATAGCATCAAAACT